TCTTGGTAGAATGAGAGAAGCACGGACAGACTGATTAACGTGAAGCTTTTTACAGGTTTTCAGAGAATCCATTGCCTCTCTCTCTTGCCGGTATGTCCAGAGCTTAAAGTAGATTGCAAAAAGAGAAATCTGAACTTGCGAAATCCTGCTGTTAAACTTTTGAAGACAAGAATCTAACCTGCAGGATCAAGGAGTGTGAAATCGTTGAATTTGATGAGAATGATGCATCGAGTTTAGGTCTAAACTCGATGCATCATATTCAACGATATTCACATGGATTTCCGACGTGGGGAGCTTTCGGTCGTATCAGGTTGAATCTACAGAAATCTGCAAGTAAGCCAGATCCACTTCACGAAATCGGAAGGTTTACGCTTTTCTAACCCTTTGGCCAAGTTCCGTAACTCTGTGATGAAGGTAAGAATGTAAAGGCAACCCGAAGTACTAGTTCTTGCGACGCATCATGTATTCGTAAACGCATTGAGATGGTGCTCCGATATTTTGAGAAACTATTAACCTATTTACGCATGCCTGATTTGAAATTCGATCCTTATTTGCGGAGATAAACATATGCAATGAGTTCAGCATCTCCTACTCGTTTAACACTTGCTAATATCTAAATTTACATATTTTTGTGGATTTGTGATACTATTACTTCTCAACCAGCTGAATGAAATGCTATACTTCACACGAGAGTTAATAGTATCAGTCAAATGTCAGTCCAGGTCTGACAAACAAAGTCTGGGCCCTAAAGCCGGACATTGTTTTGTCGGACATTCCAAAACAATAGAACTGTCCGACAGTGCCCGGACTGTGTCAAGATATTGGATATATACTGGATATTGGATTGTGAGGACTTCTTTTAGGCAAATGATATTCGGGCGTGTGGTTTTCCTATTCGGCCGGGCGGTCCTGGAGAACTTGACGAACAATCGCTCCTGACGAACAGTCGCTGGACCTCGCCTCAACTAGACGAAGATGTACGATCCCTTCGGGAGGACATCGAGTTGAAATCTGAAATAGCTGAGCTGAAGGCAAGATTTTGCGAGAGGACACAGCCTCTGCTCCATGGGGATTTGCACACGGGATCAATCATGGTCACGGAGACTTCGACCAAGGTGATCGACCCAGAGTTCAGTTTCAACGGTCCCATGGGGTTCGACGTCGATTCGTAAGCCGTCATTAATTTTAGATTAAACTACCCAGCCGAATAGCTGCACTGCACGGCCGAATAACATTTGCCTTGTTTTAAGCTTCTTAGCGTCCAAGCTTCGGGTTTCCAGATCTTCAGTTTTATCGGATTATTTTGCTTTTTGGGCACTTCAGAACTAATTATCATCTAGCTGTTTGTTATTTACAAGAGTACTCATCATTATGATAGGAAATTTTGGCTGGATATTTCCTGATGAACTGGTAGAAGGAAAGAGTTACAGCTATAGAAGCTCAAGAATTTTTTAATGTAACAATCAGGGAACAATACAAGCTTATCTAACTTGTAGGTATAATTACCTGATTCTTATAACAACATTTGAACACTTCTCACGATAAGTCTCTGTATTCAGTATCAAGTTCTGAAGCATGTCACTTTTTTAGTGCCCCGCCCAGCCTCGTTTGATTTTGTTATCGGCCAACTTGCGTATTTTGGAAAGAGAGGAATTTATTTCAAGTCTTTGAGATGTAAATTGAGTTCACACAGAGATGCTCATCTTTTTCTTACTTTCAGTTTCATCTTGTGAATTTTACCAAGTACCACGTCAAGCTCTTCAGCTTTTTCATAAATATAGCTTTGTGCACTGTATTCGTACAGATAAGTTGTAGGTTGAACTTGTAACCTGGAATCATCTTTTCTAATTCCTGCGTTCACTGATCTTAAGCTCTATTTACTTTGACACATGTAGTACACTGTTGAGCTCATGTCCATGCACCTGAAACTTAAAGTTGAGGTGAAGGCTTTTAGCTTGATTTGTTTCGAATGCAATGACCTCTTGCTTGGTGTGAAGCAGAGTAGCCCTCCGCACTATGCACGCGCACCATGTCTTTATGATGCAGCCGTGAACAAGGCTTTCGTTTCTGGTTGTGCAAGTTTCAGCCATAATGCCTTAAATTAGTTGTTTTATCCTTCTGAAAGTATTTTTTACCCATCGTTTTACGAGGAAGTCATGAATAAGATTGTCTCGTCTGAAGTTACAAGCCATTTTATCGACCACAATCTTTTGAAATTTGGATGTAGTTGATGTAACGTTTTGAATAATTATCTATTACAAACGTTTGAGTCTTCAGATATTGATTCCACATACTGTGACAGACTTACAAATTTTCTTTCAACATCAAACATGCTGGAAATTTTTTAGTAAAGGCTTGTTAGTGAATGATGAGTACTGTGATATGTTTGTGTTAGTGAGTGATGAGTACTGTGATATGTTTGTGTGTATCGTGGAATATTTTGTACATATTCCACTATACGTACAAAAATCGATGATTAATTGTTACAATACCAGGAATCTAATACCCCGTTGTCAGAATGTGAGGCAGTTGACTTGGTGAAGGATACCTTCGCATCTGCTGCCGAGCGAGATATTTATACGGTACGAAGTCGATATGGTAAGAATTTTCTGCGGTGGTGTTGCATACTTTAGCTCAAGCTACTGTTGCTGTGTGTTTTCTGTAATTGTTCTTAGGGGCTGAACTCTCATGCTTTTATTTGTACACGGACTTTATGGGTGGTTAATATGGCTGGTAGATGCTTATGGCCAGGTGGAAGGCAGACCACAATTATGCTTTGTCTGGCCAAGCTGTTCAGGCAACGTACGTGTTTAGACGGGTTGTTGAGTCCTAACGGTTATGGCAATCATGGTGTCTTCGTAGAAACACCTAATGCAACTTATATGGCTCCAGGGTGAGGGTGTCGAGATCATTGTTATTAATTCTCAAGGAGTTCAAAAGCACTACGTGGAGTCAAGAAGGATTAAGTTACCAATGCACCGAAGGCCATAGTTTTTGATGTAAGGAGTCAATGGCCGCTTGAACTGAAGCTACTTTGCGAGAGCCTCATCTGGGCTGAGCCTGTTGTTCAGAGCCCCATATTATGTTGGGGAAAGCTACTGAAAAGGCCCAAAATAAACACTCATGACGTGATAAGCAAAGATGGCAGATGACAATTTCCAAATTTTGTAGAGTTTAGTCCTCTTCAATTTGCATCCACAAGTTACCGTATGATTGTTAGAAGCTGTCAGCCATGCGTATATTTACGAACATCTTGCCTTAACCCTCAGAAAGGGAAACGAATGAGAAGTCCGCAAAAGCAGTCGTGCTTCAATCTTGGAATGAATCATCACATGCATACATCTCCAAATTACTTCACCGAACAAGTCGCTCACTCTACTCTACGTGTCACGTGTTGGATCCTGATGTCAGAGAATCGAAATAAGGTAACTTCGTGACTCTCAAGGATCGATGGCAATTTCAGAACGGTCCATACATTTCTATATCACGGAGAGATTTCTTATGCGAGCCAAGAGTCGGCACTTTCATTCATTCTTCCTCTTTTACTTTACATTGTTCAACTTACAAAACTTCCACAATATCAAGAAGAATATGATAGTCGATTGGTTTAATTCGAATATCATCACCAATGTAACAACTTACGACTATTATTCAATGCAAAGGTGGAATTTGTGTCATAAAATTACCAATAGTATCACATTAACGGATAACAATTGTATTCGATCCAGGAAGAGTAATCACGAATGTTTTAATACTTCGAACTCTATTTTTTCGCTGTTGATGTCGTACATGGCAATGATGAAATGATGAGCAGATTGCTAATATGTTACACTACATATATTAACAAAAAAACGTAAATAACACAGACACACTTATTCTTTACATATTCATTCAGTAAAACCCATAAGAAGTAAACGCCGGTGACTCCGAGCAAGAGACTCCTGTTGAGATCATATCCAACACAACCTTGTTCGTGCTTCGACTTGGCTCGAGAACTAAAACCAAGGCCCGGGAATGATTCTCATACTTTGCATAGGACGCGAGGCTAGCGCTGTGACTAGACTCGGGGCGGAAGTGAAAAAGTATACTTAGGCCAAAACATTAATGTTCTAAATGAACAAAACAAATCGCAAGAAACGAACAAAGATAATATATAGTGAATGAATGGTAAAGATCGAGTTGATGAACTCAGGAAATGAGTTATAAGCGCCGAAAAAGAGAATTTGTACTTTGGAAACTGACGAAATTATCTCCATTCTACTATCTATATAAAAGATCTCCTAACAATCTTCCACTTTAAAGATTCCAATACAAACTATTTTCAAAGCGAACGACTTATTTGCTGTTTAGATCGTGACTTTTGTAATTTTGATAGAAGCTAGTTTAGTTTTCAACATTGTGCTTCTAATTAACACTTCCAAAAATGAAAACCTCCTATATTCCTACAGTTCTGTCAGAAATGTAAACACCTTCACCATAATATACACAAGAGGCAATGAAATAAGTTCCACAATGTCAAACCAGAGATTTGTCCATATAGTGTGTGAAAGCATTTATGTTTCAAGATAAAGAATTTCAACACCATGGACATATCCGGACTTAGATGGTGATCATTCCGGACTTGTGGAACACTAAACAAGCAATGTGAGGAATTGAACGTTTGTAAATCATGTGGAAAAGATATGTAGATCTTTCACATAGTAAATATTCCGATAAGTTACTAATTATTTGACACAAATGTGTTCTGAAAGTTCATTTGATGTCAATTCCTAACTTTGCTTCATGGTTCAACTTAGTGCGTATTATAAGATTTTTACCATGCAGCGTCACAATGCTGTTAACATTGGTGGGGATATTCGTTTCATGTGATGGATCTAGAACCCTATATTTCGTATACTGATGGAAAATCTCCTTAGAATGAACGTTAATATTTCTCAATTAGGAAAAAGCACAAAAGAATGAGATACATCATTATTGTGCATTTGAGATGATTAATTATTACATGCATTTAATTGCACACCTGCAAAATGCCATTTTTGATGTAAGTCTCTTTAAAGTTGAATGACAGTCGGGATTTGTCAAAGAACTAGCTTATCCATGAATGATCCATAAAAAATGCACCGATTTTAGACTAAGATTACTACAGTTCTTCCCATTGCCATGACAATTAGGTCCACCTGTGGTGCATTTCATCCTTGAAATACCTGATGCAAGCACAACTTTTATGTATATTATGATGGCATATTTTATCTCTCAGTTCTAGGACTGAACGTGGAAAATAACCTGCAGCCGAAATGGGATTTCTTCTTGAAAATGAAACGCAGTCGATCGGAATTGGTGGATTTTCCTCAGTTTTTTGGTTACAGTTTAGAGAACAGGAATTTTTCGTCACGGCCATGAATTTGATTGATCAATGCTCACTCTTCGGAAGTTACTATCCAACACTCTCATATTTCGTATCAAACCTAACTTAAAATTTGAATGCCCCAGCTTCCATTGATAGTCACGATGTTCATTGAATTGAAATTCAAATTCAAATACATAGTATCGAAGTGTAACTATGTAAGTGATAATATTGGTTCATGGTCGGATATCCAGATTTCATACCCAAAAGTTAGAAGTTTGTACTTCTTCAATATCAAATCCACTGGACGCGAATATGGAACAGTTTATATACTACATATGAAAAATAAACACCAAATAAATTTTGTTCAAATAGTTTTATTTGAAAAAAATATTTTTTATAATCTTGAATAGATATAAGTTTTTTTTTTATTTATAGATTAATTTAGCTAGAAATAATATAATTGTTTATTTATCAATAGATAATGAAATTAATATTTCATTTATAATATATATTTACGAATATTAATTTTCGAATAAAAAAAAAGTGAATAATTTATGATGTCAGTGTTCAATTGTGAGTGTCTTTTGTTATATGTTATTACTATATGTTATAAAGATATTTTCAAAATAATTTTTACTATACGAATTTAAAATTCATTTTATAGTTTATTTTAATATGTATTTTTTTCAAAATTATTAAATTGATTTTGGTTTGATATTATTTATGTTTCAATGTAAAAGAAATATATAAATATTTTTTATAATTATGAATAAATTATTTTTTGTAAAAAATTAATATATTTTTGTCATATTTTTTATATTGATAATCAGACAATTCTAAAATTTATTTAAAATTGTATATTACTTTTGTTTACATGTTGATGAAGACATACAAACTAAATATTTGTAACGATTAAAAAACATATTATTAGTGGTTAATTTATTTTTAATCAATTAATACGATAAAATACTTCTTATTAAATAGAGATATATTCAATTGTATTATATATTTTATTATAAAAATAAATACAATTTATTATTTATTTTAAATAAATTATTAATATTTTAAATAGTTAATTTATATAATTTTTTAAAAAATTATTATATTTTTAATTAAATTTTATTATAAAAATATCAACAAATAATATAATATATTAATATAATCACGATATTTTTATTTTCTATATTTTTTAATAAAAATAAAAAATTCCATAGTCAAAATAAAAAAGAATAAAATTAGAATATACGCTATAAACTATAGAAAAACAATAAAAAATGTACTCCACCCCACTTCAGGAATCCGCGATCCGGAACATGAATTCATGTTCCGAATTTGGAGAATTCCTTCACACATCACTTTGCCAGAAACATGACTCATCTGACAGCGCAATGATTGTGACAGCCCACGTACTCAAATTCAATCCGCCGTCACTAACAGCAGACTTCAGCTGCTTCAAGTAAAAAAATCATAGATCGCAATGATTCATGACACAACTGGATGAACACTCTGAAAGTAAAGTCAAGTTGCTGCGACTGGATCAGGGCAGCAACATGTCGATCAAAGCTACTGTTTTCTTCGTCCATCTCCGAAGACGCTGGCCATATGGTAACGAAGGACACGATATACAAAACATGAACGATGCAAGCAGGCAGTACCCCAAGCAAGCTCCCACGCATTTCGCGTGGGAGCTTCGTTTGGAGTACCCACGTACAAGGGCAGAAAAAAAACTACTCTCTACTCTACTCTACTCTACTCTGCAATGCTTCATTCCAACGGCAATGTTTACAGCATGCTGGATTAGCGGAAATCGAGTTGGAAACTTACGTACGATTCCGAATGTGGAGAACTTCTACTCTTCAATTCTCCGCGCCTGATCAACAGAAATGAAGACTTTCCCCGAGGAACTATCAGGTGAGATTACAATGACCATGTCAGACATAGAACTTCTCTCCACGAGTTCTCGTAAGATTTACTACATCTAACAACTTCCAAGTGGTCAACGATCTACCCTGGAACATACAAGGCAAAACATTCGACTTTCGATTGCCAGGATGGAAAAATCTGAGTGGGTCTTACGGATCGAGAAAAAGTTAAGCCGGAGTATACACTAGTTGTCAGCGTTTGCTATTTTCTTTATCGAGTTTAGTTTCTCCAGAGAAGGAATGTAAGCACATACTGGAAAGAATAATGCACGCGAGCGGGGCCTTCGTTTTGAGACAGTCGAATCGAATCCATCGTTGCGAAAGATGGAATCATCCGACACCTTCGTAGCCTGAGCGAAATTGAACTCCCAAGTGTTCGACATTCGGCCCTCCCAGTCACAGATCAGAACTGACAATGGATGGAAATCGTGGGAAGCTGGTGGCCGCGGAAGAGGGTGGTGAACGCCGGTCGTGAGAAAGAGGTGGAGTGGTTCAGGAGAACACGGTAGGACATTCCTCCATCAAGGACATCGTCACCCGGTCCTGTAAACAAAGCAAGCGTGAGGAATATTTAGAGGTAAAACGACGATCTTTGTGCAATCCGTGGCAGGCGTAACTACACACGAGCATTTGATTTCTCTGGAGCTTCTCACCGAGATGTCACCGCTTGCGCACAGCACAGCAAAGCACAGCAGTAGGGTTCAACCCGCCTGGACATTCTTGATGAGAAGATTCAGAGAAATCTAATGATGGTCAGTCGTCGTTGCTCTCATATCGAGTATTCGATCGGCTCTCTGCGTGCGTGCGTCTGCGACTGCGTCGGCGGGCGGAGGCTAGTAGGATGGCATGGCGTCGCGCTAGCGGACATGACATGCACAGCAAAAACTCCAAACGACTTGCGCCTCTAGATGCCCGGAGACTGGAGCACCGCACGAGCTCCAGAATCTCGCTCGCAGATGTGAATCTGTTCTACGCCCCTACGCAGCACCTGCGTCAAATCCACATGACAGAAAAAGCAGGGTAGCTTTACGACGAAAAGCAGGGTAGGTTTAGAGTCAGGACAAGCGCGGGAGCAGAGTAATCACCACCGCCAGGGCCCTTGATGACGATCCCCCTTTACAGAAGCTTCTGCCCAAGCGAGCGAGCGAGACCGATCAATCAATCAATCGATTCCGCATTCGAGACATCGATCGCCCTTTGGCGGCAGAGCTTCCGGCTCGAGCCCTAAATCACTCATTGATCGAGCCCGGATTCTCCCCCCGGCCCGCACTCCGAGGCCCTGGCGTCCCGTCCAGTCCGCGACAGTCCGAGTCCCATGCACAAGCCCAAGCCCAAGCATGGAGGAACGTTGGCAACTCGCTTATTTTGGCGCTGGCGCCGCGGGAAGGGGTTGGGGTGGGGCACGAGCAACCGGCAGGCAGGGTGGGCAGCCTTTACGAGCCTTATCTCGTCCGTCCAGTCTGTGACAGTTCAAGTCCCATGCACAAGCCCAAGCCCAAGCATGGAGGAACGTTGGCTACACGCGTATTTTGGCGCTGGCGCCGGACCAGCAACCGGGCAGGAAGGGCAGCCTTTACGAGCCTTATCTCGACCGCGCCGACGCAACGTGCTCCACTGGCGAGGGGGGCTCCGACCTTCCGACGCTCCGTATCCTCAAGATCGGCAGCAGCTGGCGCGCCGCCTGGACGCTCCAAGGAGTCGCGGACGCGGCTCCCGTGATGTGCCCCCACACACGCTCTCTGTGTGTGTGACGTAGGCAACTCCCTCCGGCGCCTACAGCCCTCCGATCGGCCCGGGCTTGCGGGGATCGGAACCTGGCCGTCGATTGCGAATCTTCCGGGCATCTTCGGTCCGGGATGGGGAGGGGTTGGGGCTGGGGCTGTGCCTGCCCCCCGCGCTCGATCTCGACAGAAGCGCCTCTTTGCCCCGAAGGCGGGGGCCCGCGTTTCTTGCCGCCTTCCCCCCATGCCTCCCCCAAGCCCTTCTTGTATTCGAGGCGAATATCGCGTGGGATCGAACTTCTTCTTCTTCTTCTTCTAGCTCATGGATGGCGCTTAAAGTTGTTCTCGATTCCTCGGATTCCCGTCGGCCAGTGTCTTCTTCCTCGCGGCCAATTCATACCATCCCATCGCATCGCATCGCATCGCGGATTCGAGGTGCTTCTCGCCACATCGCTTCGTGAATTTCGTTGAATCGTTCGCCCGCTGATTCATGCAGGATCGGCCGAGTGCAGCGGAGAACGCGCGCGCGCTTTCTTTCGGAGTATGATTTCCAGGCGGACAACACGCTACTGTGCCGACCGAGTCGGGGCCTAGTCCCACGTTTCCGGTTCGGATTCTTGCTCTTTGTTGATTTTGTATTTCTGTATCGATGTCACGTGTTTGTTCTTCTGTCTCGCTATTTTTGCACCTGAATGTTGGTCGAAATGCCCTCGAAATGTCGTCGATATATCCAACTCAGTTTTGCAGTTCATGCGGTTCGTCTAGGCCGCGTGTACCGAATGGGGTTGCGAGATCGCCCGCAAAGAGGTTTGGGAAACCGTGTCGTGAACTCGTTCCAGATTCTCGAATCTACAATTTGCTTGGTGTATGTAAATCCGAAGGCCAACTGTCATTTAATAATTCCTCGATTCCTCGATTCCTCGCAGACTATTCGAGGCAATGCACATCGAGCATTGCCTCGACATGTTCCTTCTCAACACACAATTCTATATTCTTCGATTCCACCGAAATTCTACTCCTAGAAGATTGGACTCTTCGCCACTTCGCCCAAAATCAAACTATCTTCCTCTCCATTTAACTCTTGTTAGAACGAACAGGGTGCGTGGGTATTGAAAGAAATGGCGGATTACAGCGAGTATCGAAAAATAATTTGTCACTTCGATCGACGTCCATCGAATTTTCGTGTGGCCAATGGAAAGAAACAACGAGACAAGGCTTCAGAAAACCTCAAGGTACTAGCCAGCTTCGAAGCAGGGATGACCGATGCGTTCAATTCCAGCTCCAGGTGAGTTTTATCCAATCCCTTTCCACAATGTACTTCTCAACTACTAAGTGTTAGTGCCTTCGAGGATTCGACTCACTCCTTCAGTAGATGCTGAAACGAAGTCGACATGACACACGAAGCATGCAGTCTGCACGAGAAATGAAATAAAAGCAGACACATCCATAAGAGCAATGTGTTCCTTGGAACGTCACAAATTCGTCAAATCAGATTAATGTGGAGTAATTTAAATCATCGAAAAATTCTATAATATAATAGTTGGATAGTATGTACTCTTTCAATTTTATACTTCCCTGAGCTATCATAAAACGTTGCGTACTACGGTGGTTAGACTAAGCTTGAGTACGTGCTTAATATTTCATTACAGTATTTACGAAGTTATCGATTGGACATTTGAGAATAGGCAGGTAGAATTTGCATATGATTATTGTTTTATGATGCCATATTAAATAATTGTCATTTTATGGTTAACACTCTAAAATCAATTTTGGTCAGTGACCGAGGCAAATACGTGATGTATTATGGTTATGTTATTTTGTCTTCCGTAGAATCTGCATATGAATAATGTTCTATGATGCCATATTAAACAATTGTAATTATGTGGTTACCACTCAAAAATTAGTTTGGGCAGTGTCCCAGGCAGAATACGTGATGTTTTATGGTGCTATTAATTGGGCTTTCGTACACTGGAAGAGCTATAATTCAAGTCGCTATATATGAGATACAGATCGATCCCCACATCTGAACAGCCGCTCCAAATGTAGCAAGGCATCTAGATAGGCTAGACATTTACTTTGAAGCATTTTAGTGAGGATCTAAACCCGTGGGTTGCCGATGGGTTAGGTTTCCTTGTCAATGCTTGCACTTTGTCTTTCTTTTGAGAAGGAGGTAATAATATTTCTTTCAATTTTTTCTGAAACGCCCAAATCACCGGAGAACTCCATGAGGACGCATTTGATGCTAGAATCATACGGCAACGTACGATGTGTATGATACTATCCAGTTTCATGTTTCCAACATTTTCAAGTGTTAAAAAAGTATAAGCAGGTTACATTTACCACAAAATTATTGCTGCTTAAGTAATTCATCTTATTAAGGCATGATGTCCTTAGAGAACTCGTTCATCTGTGTGAATTACAAAAAGTCTTTTTACAAAAAGCCTACAATAAAATAGTACAAAATGTGGTAAATGACACTTCAGTTGTACTCACTTTCCATCTGCCATGGAGTTGGGATGTTGTAAATTCTACAAGGATGTTGATGACAACATACACCGAAAATGATTTAACATATAGAAAAATGTCATTCTGTTTCTAATGACTTCCCACCTCGGAATTTGGATGTCTAGGTTCGGCTTCCAGCACCTTGTAGCGATTTCAGCCATGGGAGTCAGTTGAATCTGTAGTCGTTGTGATCATGTAAATCACAGCAATTTTCATTGGTCATCAGTTACAAAGCCCATGGGGTAGTATTTTAAAAGACACTGGCAGTATAGTCTGACCGTGGCTTATTTTCAGTGACTGCTCATTAATATGTAACTGAAAAGGTACAACATTTGTAACCAATTGTGTGCAAAGTCATTTATTATACTGGTTAAGTAACGCTCTCTGCCTACAATTGTATGTTATCACACACACGGATGGTATTTTTATAAGAATAATTTTTATTTACTTTGGGGTGGGCTCAGATATATCGTAAATATAATGGAAAGTGAATAACTTGAACTTGCAAATTTTTTTAATTGATAGAATATAATGTATAGACTTTGAATATATTGTACAATTGTTTTAAGGATAGGTGTAGATCATAGGGATTCAATCATTGAAGATAAATGAGATGTTACACTTTGTTATATGTTGAATTGTCATAAATATTATCTTCCAGTTCTATCATCTCAATAAAATACTACAATTCTTGAAAAAAAATTACTCAAAGTGTACTTGTGCATTACACTAAAATTAAAATATTCTCAGATAAAATGTTGGGACTATGTATAGTATACACTCACTTAAGTCCGCACCCATATAAATCCGCCTAAGTCTGCATTTTTCAGACGAAATTTCAAGGATCAAAATTCTAAAGTTTTTATTATCAGCAGAAGTCAGACTTTTGATTAATGAAGGTGATGCTAAAAAATTGTTATAACTTGAAATGAATGTTTGCATGTATGAGGCAACATGGTGATTTCTCAATAGAGATTAACTCTCTCTCCTTTTTGGCTCTAAGGTAGGATCTTTTAATAATTGCTTATATCTAAGTCTACTGGTTTTCATCCTAGTTCCTATTCCATGCGTCTCGAACCCAGTTTCATTCTTGATAAGGCTTCATTCACATCAATCTTTACAGACTTACCAATATCTTTAATATATTATCTCGATTAATAACTATATCGACATGAGTTTGTTGTAGACGGTGTTGAGAAAGATCAACACAAACTAATTGTAATAGTACTTGAGTCAGATATTAACGATACTTTTCCTTACCAATTGCAATACAAGGACTATGAGTAGTGTCAATGTTAACCCCTAGCCAAAGGGTTGATAGTTTTTTGGGATGAAGTGAAGGGTGGTACCAAGTATCACTACGTCTGTAAAATTATTGGAATGTTGTCTGAGGCTTTTCTTTTGACAATAGTTAACATAGAAATACCGCGGAAAGATTGAAGTCACCACATGATATATAACTAAAGTCCACATCCTAGATAAGTCCGCACAAATCTTCTCAGATCAAAGTGCGGACTTAACCGAGTTTATACTGTAAGTTCATGTAAATTTTGATTGATTTTTAATTTCTATTTATTCAAAAAACGTACACAAAAAGAAAAAATGGAAATTTTTTTATCTTTGAACACATGATATGTTTAGTTTGAATTACATGTTCTTTACTTGAATCCTTTGAAACCAAATCTTTTGGGTGAAAGTGTTTTGTTTAAAGATGAAAATGTAAATCATGCAAAATTTCACTCTAAAAAATGTTAAGGTAGTAACTTGAGGTTATAGCTATTTATAGCTAGGTGTGTCGCTGACTTTGGGTATAAATATACCCCCGAGGCTTCTACTTGTGTGTGCATTTAGTATTCAATTGTTAGTAAATCTTCTCGTGCACTTCAGCCGTGAATGTAGCTGACTTTGGGTATAAATATACCCCCAAGGCTTCTACTTGTGTGTGCATTTAGTATTCAGTTGCTAGTAATTCTTCTTGTGCACTTCAGTAGCCCCCGAGGGTGAACCACGTTATATGAGTGTCTCATGTGTTTGTGCTTGGCTCGAGTGAAGCTTGGTTTTATGTTTAAGAAATGGTATCAGAGCGGCCTTGCAATTCGGAGTAGGAATCAGGCTTTCGTTTGGTGTTCTTTCACTTACACGTACAGTGAAAAACTTGTGTTTACCTTTTGAAAATTTGTTAATAGAGAAATATTCACTTTTTTCAGTTTCAGAATTTTGCCAACAATTTTTTGTAGTCTCAGAGTTTTTTTCAGAATTCTGTAGACATTTTTTCAGGCTTTTGTTTTACTTTCTGAAAATTTATTAAAAGAAGAGATTTTCAGTTTTTTTTTCAGTGTTAGAATTTTTTCGACAGTTGTTTGTAGTCTCAAAGTTTTTTCCAGAACTAAGTAGACAGTTTTCAAGGGGTGGGGGTAGAAATTGATAAAACGTTTTAATCATGTCTATATAAGTTGTTTACTGTGATTGAAGCTTTGCTGTCGTTTAATGTTTAGTAGAATTTTCTACTCATGGTATGTATAGTGAAAATGATTTCAAATTTTACTTTTACTACACGTTGCTAAGTTTCTATGCAAAGTTCTGACAGTTTTTAGTGACAGTATCAGAAAGTGTGTGATTCTTGGAGTTGACAGAAATAAGAATGACAGTATCAGAAAGTGTGTGAGCGAGGTCAGGAAGGGACTACGAGCGACCGAGACTCTCAAGCAGGATCAAAGGCTCAGATTCTTTCTGCGAGTCGAAAAGGAGGTGTTCCCCCTTCTTGGCAGACTTCGAGCAGCGGCAAGCAGATTCATGCAGCGGGCAGCGGAGGCCGCGCAAAAATAGTGCAGCGGGAAGGCAACAACGGCGAAGGGCAGTGGAGGCCCGCAGAGTTCGGGCGAAGGTCAGCGGCCCCCAAGCGGCGGGGCACCCTTCTCCATCCCTTGGCGAGAAACCTCGAGCGGCGGGGCACCCTTCTTGCGAGGCAAGATCCCCAAGGTAGGGAACCCACCCCATGAGGCGGGGATCTAAATCGGCTCCCGAGCAGCGGGCCGAGAGGTCGTAGGAGAGACAAACCCCGCCCCTTTGCAACGGAGGTCAAACGTTCCCCACCTGAAATTGTGTGAGCGAGTCCGAGAAGGGAGTATGAGCGGCCAAGACTTCCAAGCAGAAGCGAAGGCTCAAGCAAAAATAGTGCAGCAGGCATGCAACAACGGCAAAGGGCAGTGGAGGTCCGTAGAGTTCGGGCGAATGTCAGCGGGTAGGGCCCCTGAGCGGCGGGGCACCCTTCTTCATCCCAAGGCGAGAAGCCCCGAGCGGTGAAGCACCCTTCCCACGAGGCAGTATCCCCAAGGTAGGAAACCCACCTCCAAGGGGGATCCAAGTCGGACCCCGAGCAGCGAGCCATGAGGTCGCGGGAGAGGCGGATCCCACCTCTTTGCAGCGGAGGTCGAACGTTCCCCACCTGTAACTCTCCCCAAACCCCCCCCCCCCTCCTCCCACCGAGCGGTGAGATTATTCCAGGAAGTTTAGGAAACTTCGCGGCAGCGGCACAGTTAGGGTTTTCCGGCAAAGTTAAAGTTTTCTGGCGACAAACGACGTGGTTGTGGCCGATTTTGTTGCAGGGCTTGTGGTAGCAGTCCACGTGGTTATAGTCAACGTGGTTGCATTTGGACGTGGTTGGTGTACTGTAGTCACGATTGACGTGATGATCTCAGGAAAGACGTGGTCAATAAAAAACGTGGTTGCCCGTGACAGCTCTGTTGATAATGGTCTGACGGTAATGCTGCAGGTTGGAATCGATGGTGGTCATGGGCTATGACACTCGCGTATGATGGACATTGCATTCGCAAACAACATTGATCACGGACGATATGAGTCGCGGGTGACAGTTTTTTAAGTCGCGGGCAACGGCAATCACGGGCGACGAGAGTTGCGGGTGATGGATATTTAAGTTGCAGGCGACGGGAGTCGCGGGTGATGGTGGTCAAGGACGACGAGAGTTACGAGTGACGGATATTTAAGTTGCGGACGATTGTGGTCAAGGGAGACAGAAGTCGCGGATGACGGAAGCTGAATCACGGACGAAAGTGATCGCGGGTGAAATTTGTGTACAGGCGGGCAGTTCAAACCAAAGCGGGTATTTTGTCTTGGAGATTTCTGGTCGCAAAATATTTTGTCATGTTAGTGGAATATTTCATTTGTGTATATTTTGTTTCAAATACTTTCTGTTGGAGTATAGTCAAATTGGGTATCATTGGAAAGCTCTTGACACAACTAATGCATCTTGACAACTTTCGGAAGCTGAAAATGCACCTAAAGTACAAAATTGACGCAAAACCAGACTTTATCTCTAGTTTTCATAGAACTAAGATGACATCGAAAGAGGTTGGAGGAATAGAGTACAACCTTCTTACTCTTGATGGCCGAGGTGATTAACTGCTTTGGGAAAAACAGGTGAAAGACAAGCTAAGATCTATGGGTCTCACTAATGTGCTTAGAGACAAACCAATGAACATTTCGGACATTGACTACAAGGATTCACAAGAGTAAGTAGTCTACATTGTGATGAGTTATCTAGATACTTCAGTTATGAAGCAAATTGAGGAGTATTATGAGATTACAGAGCTTTTTGATGATCTACAAAGATTTTTTCATCAGAAAGAAATATCACATGTCATGAACACCTAGATGAGGCTATTGAACTTTAGTATGAGATTGCGATTAAAAATTTAGGATCACATTCATGCTTATGGCAATTTGTTGGTAAATCTTCAGAGTATGGAAGAGTAGCTTTCTGAGATTAAGAAAGCTATGCATTTACTCCATTGATTGCCTTCCTCGTACCAGACACTGTCAAAGATTCTCCTTCATTGTGATAAGATGGCTGTAACTTACACGAGGTTGTAAGTGCTTTTCTTGCGGACGGGGTAAAACAAGAGATGTTGTCATTCTCTCACCCATTCACTTCAAGTCCTGCACTTACTGTGACACGGGGTTAGTCACAATCATCGGGTATGGAAAATTTGCAGCGTACAGAATTCAAGCGGTATATATCTAGATCCCCTGAGCAAAGGAGAGTTTAGTTTCGATTTTCATACCATAACAAGAGGAATTTGAAGAACTTAGTATGTTGGAGATGTGGCAAGAATGGCCACATCAAGAAGGACTGTCGGATGATAGTAAGAGATGCGAATCTTCCTCAAGTGGCGAATGTTGTTGAACATCTTCACTCTGAAGAGGAAGACGTGTTTGCCGACGGTCTGTGATGCTAGAGGTATCATCTCTGTAGTTCACCAACAGTTGTTGATGATGTATGAATTTTGGATAGTTCTTGTTCCAATCGCATTTGTTACATTAGAGAGTTCTTATGTACTTTCTCAGACCAAACGGTTCTGTTCTTATGGGGAATGACCAACCTTGTAAGATTGAGGGTGTGGAATTTGTAAAAATCCGCATGTTTGATGGTGTCAACCAAACATTGACACACGTTAGGTTTATATCTAACATGAGAAAAAATTTGATATCTTTTGGAGTATTAGACTCACACGGCTTAGAGTGGAGCTCTAGATAGGGTGTGTTAGATGTCAAATCCAGTGATAAGAATATTGTACTTAGAGGATACAAACACAATAATATGTACTTATTAGAGGGCACCACAATTTGTAAAGAAGTTAACTGTACCGGATCTCGCGTAGAGATGTCTTATTTAGGGCATTCTCGACTAGGTTATATGAATGATAGATACTTGTCTTTTCAAATAGAGTGTTTTCAGGTTTGTGTAAAGTTGACTTTTCATTTTGTGAACACTTCATCATGAGAAAACAACATAGACCACCTTTTAGTGTTGCAACTCATAAATCCACAAAGATACTGGAGTATGTACATAGTGACATGTGGGGTCCATCTGCTACTACTTCACTCGAAGGAAAGCTGTACTATGTATCTTTTATAGATGATTACTCGTGATATGTATGGGTATATTTTCTTACCCACAAGTCTGAGGTGTTTCTCACTTTCAAAACTTGGCGCGTACAAATCGAAACACAGACTAGCAAGAGGGTAAAATATTTACGATCAGATAATGGTGTCGAATACAATTCTGAGGAGTTTCAAAAATATTGTACAGAGGAGTAAAATACTTGTCACTTCACAACAATTTACACTCCCCAACAAAATTCTGTTTCTAAGAGACTCAACTGAACAATGTTGGAAAAAATGCGAAGTATGCTAAGCGAATCTGGTTTACCAGGAGAGTTATGGGCTGAAGCCGTCAACACCGCAGTTTATTTGATAAACCTCTCTCCTTTGAGTGCAATTGATTTTTCCACAGCGTTTGAATTCAGGCATAAACGGATGGCGGATTACAGTCGTTTGAAGGTTTTTGGTTGTACTGCTTATACTCTTATACCAAAGGAGCGGAGGACTAAGTTAGACATTACGTCCAAGAAATCTTGTTTTCTTGGATATGCTAGTGGAGTGAAAGGTCATAGACTATGGGATTCACTAGCTCGTAAGGTGATTGTCAGCAGAGATGTTTCTTTCAATGAGCTTGGCTTATTGAAAGAGGGGGAGAATTCTAATAATCCTCGTACTGACAAGGAGAAATCTCCAATCACGGATGTTGTTATGGGGGAGTTTGATCATTATATCACTAATGATTTGTCACAAGAATGGTCATCAGTGCATCAAGAACAAAAGCAACATGAGCGAATTATCATTGATGAGTCTATTGCAATAGTTTTTGACTATAGAGATTAACGAGAAAAATCTACTAGGAGATTGCATTGTGCTAATAGGGCTCTTAAAAGATTTGATGTACGGGCATATTCATCCATTCTTGAAGATTTTGACTTTGATGTCAAAGATGGGGATGGTATGACGTTGATTTTGGAAGAAGATACATCTTCTTCATACAGGGAAGCTCAAGCTTCGGTCAACAAGCTTGAGTGAAATGTTGCTATGGAGCGGAAGATGAAATTTCTGATTGACAAAAGACTTGGGAGTTGGTTGAACCTCCTATAAATCAAGCGCTAATTGACTCCAAGTGGGTGTATAAGCTCAAGGACAATCCAGCTGGAGAAGATGCAAGAATCTTTAAAGCTAGATTGGTGGCTAGAGGTTTCACATAAGAAAAGAGCGTGGACTACAACGTAGTTTCTTGCCTATAGCTAAGTATGCTACAATTCGTTTGGTTAGTGCACTGATTGTGATATTTAATTTTGTTATGGATCAGATGGATGTGGATAGAGCCTTTGTCTATGTATATTTAGAGTAGAAGACTTGGTTTTGAGGTCAAAGGCAAAGAGAAACTAGTTTGTAGATTGTTGAAATCATTGTATGGACTGAAGCAAGCTCATAGGCAGTGGAACACGCGATTTGATGATTTCATGAAGACACAAGGTTTTTACGGAGCATGTATGATCCTTGTGTCTGCATGAAAAAAGTAAATGATGAGTTCAATCTCATCATTCTAGTAATCTACGTTGATGACATGCTAATCCTGGCGAAAAATCAATCAGATGTTGATGAATGCAAGAGTAAATTGAAGTTTGCATTTAAGATGAAAGATATGGAGTAGTCGAAGAGAATATTAGGCATGGAGATTCATAGGAGTCATGAACAGAAGAGGTTATGGTTAAATCAATACAAGTATGTTTGTCGTATACTTAACAAGTTCAACATAGTCGATTCCAAAGGTGTATGTACTCCTTTGACAACACATTTCAAACTCTCCGTAGCTCAATGTCCTACCGATGCTGTGGAGAAAGTAAGAATGTCATATGTTCCCTATGAACAAGCCGTAGGCAGCCTCATGTATTTGATGGTGTGCACTAGGCCAAATATTGCCTTTGCAATGGGCAAGGTGAGCAAGTACATGTCAAATCCAGGGAAAGGTCACTAGAAGCATTGAAATGGATTATGAGATATTTGAAGAGTATTTGGGATTATGGTTAATTATTTGATGGTCTATTACACAATGAAAAATCCTTTTTTGGTTATGTTGATGCTAACTACGAACAGAATCTAGATAAAAAAAGATCTACAACTGTGTATGTGTTTACACTTGGCAGTGGAAGCATTAGTTGGAGATCTACCTTGCAAAAATGTGTAACTTAGTCAACAACGGAAGCTGAATATGTGACACCGGTAAAGAGCAGCTTAAAGCTATTTGATTGGATAGACGTATCATGGAAATGGATTGAAGCAAGGTGTGATTAATCTTCATTGTGATAGCCAGCGTGCTTTACATTTGGTTGCTAACCAAGTCATGTATAGTAGAGCAAAGTACATCGACATTATGTATTATTTTATAATACATGTAGTGTCTGATAAAACGATTGAGCCAATCAAGATTGACAGCAAACTCAATTCATTTGATGCTTTGACCAAAGTTATTCCTTTGGAGAGTTTCAAGCAACATTGCGCTACCATGCAGGTTGTGCATGGGGAGCACATGTAGAATTTGCTAGGAATTAGAAAGGTAGCTTGTATTAAGTTTCTATCTAGAACTTCTCTCGGAGTATTTATATAGACTACTAGATCTCTGATCGTTCTATGCAAGCAGGTTCTATTTACCTCGTTATGTTATTACTCTATCATCTTATTGTTACGGTCTAGTTCTAGATAACTCTTGTGTAAAGAGGGGCATTGAGTTAATTTTTTGTCTAGAATTACACCCATGAGTAATAGTATAGTTTATATAAATTACTGTTTCCTTAACACGAATTAAAGGGGAAGTTGTTGAGGTTAATTCCGATTAATGAGTAACCTCATGTTATAGTTATTTACAGGTATGTGTATCGTTGACTTTGGGTATAAATATACCTCCAAGTCTCTTCTTGTGTGTGCATTCAGTATTCAGTTGATCTTCTTGTGCGCTTTAACCGTGGATGTAGTCCCCGAGGGTCAACCACGTTATATGAGTGTTTCTTATGATTGTGCTTGGATTGAGTGACGCTTGGTTTTACGTTTAAGAAAAAAAAATTTCATCCAAAAATCTAGTAAGTGAGTTGTATCAAGTTTTCTATATATGAATAACTATATTTGTAGTTGATGTTTGTGAAATCTACTGAATGATGAATAATTCTGAAAAAAATATCTCTAAAAACTTGTGGATGTCATGAAACATGTTTAACCATTTTCAATTTATTTAAGTATATAAAACCTTATAAAAATTTAACATAAAAATATATCGATAACTAATCTAGAAATTTTAATAACCACATATACATATGTTATTACAAATGGATAAAAGCTGAAATTTTAACTGGAATCTTATCGCATACACATACTTCTTAAGTACAACTTGTCAAAAGTGCAAGAGTATAGTCAACTTTAATGTTGAAAATGAAATAATGTGCGGAAACTTTGTATCTAACCTTTTAACCCTTCTGAAAATGTAAAATTGGCCGGTAGGATTAAATTTTTAGATGTTATGATGGTCTTTGCTATACCGGATTTATGAACTTGTTTAAGAATGATTAAGGTAGTCATTCTATTTCGCAAAGAGCTGACACAAACCTGCAGTATTGCATAGTTGTCTTGAAACCTCCAATTAATTGTTTAGCAAGGAATCTCAATCATAACCTCTTTTTCTCGACAATAAGCCTTTGAATTTACAGATTGTCCCTTCACATGTGCATAAAACTAAGTTAAGAACACATCAATTGATTGCAAACGGTCTACTTTGCGTAGTTTGTAGTGACTGCAAATTATCCAAAAATAATATATGCTAATTTTTTTTAAGAGTTGATGATTCGAGGACATATATTTCATGTATTTATAAACGTATAATTTATAATATATAGTGATCGATGCCATTATTCGTAATAAAAATGAAATTCCATTAGGATTAGCGATGACAAAATTCATATCGTAATCATCACAATTTTCCATAAGCTCTACATTCATGAATTTGAATCATTGATCAAAACAAGTCAATTCTTTACATATAAAATATTTTTTCTACCAAGGATTGAAATTAACGTTAGGAAAAAAAAAGCTTACAAAACTTACAACCAAAACCAGCGTTGAGATTTCGCTTGCATATTCCATGCAATCCAAAACGTTAGTGCTGAATGGAAAACAGAAAAGTAAGTTTCCAGTTTGATTTAATATTTTCAAAGTGAGGTGTTATAGACATGACTATCATATATATGATACATCAGATTAAAAAATCTCTATGATACTCAAGTAGACTACATGCAGAGACTAAAAGACTTTGTATTGATATACTTTTTATGCCAAAGGTACATTATAACCATTTGGAGACTAGTCTGACTTCAATTCATCGAAGGATGATTCACGTGATGTGTAATAATTGGATTTGGTCCCCACACATGACTTCATGTGGATCGAACAGCCAGTGAGCACAGAATCAAATGCCATGTTCAAATTATTTTCTTCATTTTGAAAAATGAGAAAGTGTGAGTTTTTATATGGTAGCAGCAGAAAGCTAAATCCTCCTGCTGGCAATTCCATTGTCAACAGACTTGCATAAAATTCGGCCTTTCAATGAGCTTTCAACCACAAGAGACGAGAGTAGCTCGAATCGAATGGCAATGACGAGAAAATTCGCTTGTAGATCTTCTGTACATGTTTCTCAGAGACTTCATGGGTCAGATAAAAGTCTGCAAGGACATTTCAATCTCGAGCTCTGAAGGCTCCAGCAACTCAATCTCATGCCCTTCAACAAGCCTTTCCATGTCTGACAAAGATTTAGAATCTAGTGTATACTGCACTTGCTGATCGATCCCTTGAGATCTATGGGAAATTGTCTATCAGTACCTTCTACAGCTTCAGTTTATCCACGAGGAAATTCGATCACGAGCTCAATCTAGCCAGAACACCGATTAGTAGGGCGTTGTTGTAAGTGCAAGCCTCACCACCTTCCCAATTGTCGCGCCTATCGATGTAGTCATCGTTTACATCAGGTCCTCCCACAACAGCGCCAGTCAGCTCGTTCGGATCTCCTTCAGTCTTGCTGTACCATACGTCGTAACCGTGCTGGCAACTGACAAATGTGCTGTCTTTCTTGATGGAGATTATCGATGCTCCGCGGTGATGTACACGTCTGGGATAGTTTGCTCCGAAGCCAACCATGTAACTCATCCTTTTTGGATTGCTGCCGAGAATGTAATCAATCTGTGCCTTTCCGACACTGATCAACTCAGAAGTCGAAATTCCCGCCCCACCGATCGGGCACGAGAGCTTTTCTCTAGCGTTGCTCAGGTAGTCTCCGTAGACTGTGAGCAGGAAAGCTGCTGAGGTAACGAACTGCAGATTGTTCCAGGACTGCAGCCACAACATCCCTCCAGGTGTTCGCTGAGTTGACTTCGCACCGTTTCTGTCGATCGAAGAGCACATGAAAAATTCTGCTTGCTTCTTGTACTCCTCGAGAGTGCTCGTATGGTTTCCTCCCCTGCGTTGCAGCAGAATCTGGAAAACAATTTTACAGAGAGTCGGTCTGCTTATTGATTCTTCGAAAATCTGCATGCACAACATTGAATACTGACGCTCCCCCGAAGCAACTACTCCCCTCGGGCATCCAGTAGCTTCAGATGTCGATCTTCCACTACACCTTCATAAATGCATGTTCTGAGGTTCAGATTCTTCTAACTTTTAAGTAAGTTCGTTTGTCATCCGAGATTCAATGATGGCTATGGAGGACCGAGCTGGCGATTTCCAAGTAAGGTTCTCTGTAGTGGTTCTTCGCATGTCGCCGCATTGTGATTCATTACTGACAAGGCTAAACTCATGGACCGTGAATTTGAAGATCATTCTCTTCATGAGTCGTTAGTCACTCAGCTGATGAGCCCAAGAATCTCGACCTTAGCTTTGATCGTTCGTAAGGTGGTCGAAATCGCTCTGACGTTCAGATTCTTCAAGGTCTTTCGTGTGTTGATACGATGAGTTTCTATGATCTAAGTCATTGCAAACATATGTCCTACGATCCGTGATGATACCTTCGTGCTTCTCTCACCTCGTCCCTTATAATCTTAGTAGATAGCGTCTAAGAATTAAGTACCAGAAGAATTGAGGACCACCAGAATAAGCAGGAATTTCTTCAAATGCAGCACTTTCATTTCAATTCAGACAGATGGGGATTACCTTGGACGCCAGAACTTGAACGCCGGCATACTTGACATCCCAACCAAACTCTGACATGGCCCATCCCGTGCCACCCAGCAGCTGCGCATTGTTTACAGCATACTCGAGATAGACGTCGTCGTTCGTGGCCTCGAACAACCAGAAAGCCGCCCACAGCAGCTCGTCATCGTATTTGCTCGGCCCGGAAGCGTAATATTTCCTTACGATGGGAACAGACTCGTCGTAGTTGCCACGATAAGTATCAGCGAATTGGAAGAGCTGCGTCGGATGGAGCAGTAACATTGTTGTTTAAATTTCATGCACAGATTGATTGCATCGTCTGAGTTGATCAATCAATGGATAACGATGAATCGAGTGACTTAACTTGTGATTCATTGACATTTCGCCGATTCATTAATCAATCTGATATCGATAGATTACAGCAACTCGAAACTCTAAAACATCATCAATTAATCGAGCAGCAGCAGAGGTCCTGCACAATGGACGACGAACCTGTCTGGCGTGAAATAAGAGTGATGCAGAGTATTGCATGTCAGACTTCTGGAACACGATCGACGCAGCAGCCAGAGCCGCTGCAGTCTCAGCTGCAACTTCAGATCCGGGATTTTCTGCGTCGATCTTGTAAGCTTTTCTGGACGTGGTCATATCCTCAGGCCTCTGCCAGCAAGTGTGATCAGAATCGCCATCTCCAACCTGCTGACAGAAAGAAGCACGTGGAAGATCAAATATCATACGGATGATGTGTCGAAACGCATTGCTCGCATGAAGACTACGATGGAAGGAGGTGACCGTGGAGAATGACGAAAGATTTTCTGGGCTCCAGTTAGATAGTACAGCACGTACCTCTACCCACAAAATATCAGGCTGAGTGTGAGCTTTGATGAAGTAATCAGTGCCCCACTTGAGAGATTCAAGTGCATGACGCAGCTGGTTCTGTTTGATCAGCTGAGATCTGTACTCGATGACGCTCCATGACAGCGCAGTAATGGTGAATGCCATGGGGAGTTGGAACTTGACGTTATCTCCCGCGTCATAATACCCTCCCACGAGATCCACCTGCGCACAATCAAACGAATCAATCACACTCCTTGAACACATGCCTCTCTAATCTCGGTCTCTCTCTTCGACGTCAATCAATCTCTCACACACTTCGTCCTATTTGTGAAGAATTCATCACCCCAATTCTGTCAGGAAAACGACCAAATTCGGTATGATCAGACTAGTGTTTTCTATGATCAGATTCTTTGAAATCCTTCGTCAGAGGACTGCAATCTGATCATGAGTACCCATGGATCCATCGGCCTCTACTCCACCATCTGCGTCTGGAGATGGAGACGACGGCTGAAGTCAAACTACGGTTTGTCTCGTGGGTCGAAGAATGTGGGACGAAGAATTCGCTGGCATCGGTCCAATCATTTCGACTGGATTGGATAGCGAGCTCGTTCGGTACCAGCTACGGGCGACAAGAGAGTGGAGACGAGGATGGTGACTTACCCCTTCGTCCCACCCGTCCTTGAGAGCTGAATTGGCACGCCAGTCCACGCGTTGGTTGGCAGGGAGGTACCCCGATCTTTGAGCTTCGAAGAAGTGGAAGCTCAGCTCCAGCGCCCGCTTGTAGTCGTGCTGTGCGTCGACCAGTCGACTGAGAGATGTGGCGGTCAGCAGGACGAGCACCACCGCCACCAGCAGTAGCCTTGCTGCTGCAGTTTGCCCGCTTCTGTGGCCACTGGACTCCATCTCGTAGCCTCTAGATCTCAATGGCGTCCCTACTATCCAAACAATATTCAACCACTGGATGTAAGTCCAGTCCAGACCTACTCCTCGATCGAAGATTTATCGACGGGAATTCTCTCGATGTCTCTTGTTGTAGCTCGATGACACCTAGTCTCGATCACAGTGTACTCTGTATCGATCTACGTCTGAAGGATGAATTGTGCACGTCTGAAGTCTCGGCAGGTGAGGAAGACACTGGCCAATAAATTTCTCATCAGCTCGGAGTTTTCGAGTGGTCCCTGGAGAAAGGTGCAGGTGCCTGGGGAACGAAGCTCTCGGAGGCTCTCAATCAGATGGGACTCGCAGACACCGATTGACGAACAGAGCAGCAGTGTTTGTTGGAGAGGTGAGCTCAATCGTCCATGTGCTGACTGACACATGAATCTCTCTGGCTCTCGTTGCGGCCACTGAAGAAGGCTGCGGATCTGACTTATACTCGATCATCAGAATTCCCACCGCGTGATGATGATGCTGTTGTCCTTTGCGGCGACCCATCGCCGTCCATGGAAGAAGAATTTCACAGACGCCCAAAAGTCAGACGGCAGTAATTGTCTGCCTCCTTATTCAACGCCCTTCGCGCTGAGCTCGACGCTCGTTCCTCCTTCGTCATGCATTGCATCGATGACAGACAGAAGCTCGATCGCCCGCTAAAATGGAGAGCCGAGTGAGTACAGGTTCACGGTGCAATTGTACATCATCAGCGATGGATTGATTCATCGTCAAGATGTCCGCGGCCTCTTCCGCCCCGCATGAGCTGAGCTGCATCGATCGCGATCACGATCAGTTGTCAGTACCATCTCCACATATCCATTAAATTCACAAACGCGGGGCCTTGTCTAAAGTCTTCGTCGGTCTCTTTGACGCGGAACTGCTTCGGTGGAACTTGGCAAGCCAAATTCCAATCTCTGCATCTTAAATTAATTACAATCTCTTATAAATGCTGGTCAATGATCCCATTTCTATTACCATTGAGGAATTCTTCATCACAGATAAATTTCACATCGAGGTCCACGGCCTTGATCTCGTTTGGATAATAAGATCATCGGCGGACAGAATCCGCATTCGATCCCTTCGCGTGAACTGAATCGAAGCCGGCTCACGAAGAACGTGAGATTGACTTATCGATGCTCATATCGATCGTATACGTTTACCAAACGAGCTCTTGGAGATGTCGGATACCCGAACTTAATCTGCACGATTAGAATCCTGATTCATCCTCACACCCATCTTCATGGCTGAACCGACGAACGGGGTCCTCTTCAGGCTTGTCAGACTTAATTCTCTCCGATCTGAATCCGTATCTGTACGATAGCCGGAGCATAGAGCAAGCATCGTGCTAAATGAAGATCACTCTAACACGGATGAGAATTTATCTGCTCTGAGTTTCAAATCTCCATCGTTTGACCTCGACGACCTGAACAGGTCGAGAAGATTATCGGCGGCACCTGCCCTCGTCTAACAGTCAAACGAGTCAAGCGTCTGGCAGTGAGTACCTACTGGGACTGTACAGGTCTTCAGATACGTGCTTACTGGAATTCGATAACCTGTCCTTCTGGTCTTAATAACTCCTTGGCTTGCTCGCTTGCTTGCTGCAAGTCAATATTCATCCCTGTTCCGTGAGCCGTACATACGTTGAGCAAATCCTGATGATGATTGCTGCTCGTGATCACCACCTGCCTACGAGTCCCACTGCAGAAAAGCAGTCCAGTCCAGTCCAGTTTCAAGGTCAAATTCTGTCCACAAGTTTCTCTTCCCTGTTGCTGCTGCTGCTGCGAGGTACTGATTGATCGTCCAGGCAGGCCCAGCTCTGGACCTGCAAGTACGCCAGTGGCTCTGCTGTCAGGGAGGATTGTTCTTGTTCTCGTCCCTGGATTTGTCATTCCTTCTCCCTCGCTCAAATCTTCACAGTTCTGTTTTCTCTCCGTCTGTGAATGTAGACCTTCTCGCTGGCTCTTGGAACTGAAACATCACCAAAGGATGTGGCAGGCATTGGGAGAATTCAATGCGTTGTGTGGCGACATCTGTGACCCTATCCAACCGTGCAACCGCAGTCTCTCTCGTCCTTCCGTCGGCCGGAATAGAATGTCTTGGATTACTTACTTACTGTGATAAACAGCAGCAAGGCGAGGGATGATACCTTCGTTTGACATTTGTGACGACCATGCATGCGGCAAACATTTCCCATAGCAAGTCATACGCTATGTCTGTCGAAATGAGTGTGCATGGAGTTCGTTACACAGGGCAACGAATCGACTTCTCATGCGATCTGGAATGTGGGGTCAATAAGCTTCAACCACAAACAATGATCAAACTATGTCACCACAATAATTGGACTCCTCCATTCTAGCTCGATCTAATCCCGAATTTACTCCACCACATCGAATCTTTGCAATTTTAGCAGTAACGGAATTGTAAGTTTTGTATTAATTAATGCGAATTATTTTAAGTCATGTGGTAATCAATGAACAACCGTCATGAGCTACGTACAGTAGTTCTGCAGCTGTATCCCAGAATCTTTGTGTATCTCAGAGTACTCAAGGTTTAGCATATCAGTGACATAAAATTACAAAGCCTCTCGTTTCTAATTTATAAATCCGTATTATCAGTAATGACATGGTATTATCTAATAATGATAGTTTTGATTGTAATTTCGAAATTAAAATTTTATTGTTATCATTATAAAAGAGAAAAATGTGATATAAATCTTTCAATAAAAATGTACATCAACAATTCATTCTCCTTGGATTTAGTTAGTAAGGCACCGGTTAGTTATCTATAAGTTTGGGCTAATTACCCATTGCGTTACACTAATGTACACTATTTTTCAAAACTATGTCAACTCTATAATAATTAGCCAATTATCACTCAGCGAAACCGAGAGATAACTAACCCCTCCGTGAATCAAATATTTTGTTAGATATATTATTATTAATTATTTCATTTAGATTTTAATATATTAAAACGGATTCAAATTTTCTTGAGATTGAAAAGAGCGAGGATCGCTATTCAGTGATTAGCGATCAGTGATTTGAATATTTATGCACGTGAATGACATAGCTCTATGCAATGAATGAGTCGGCAGACTTGCAAACACGAAATATGAATACGTATGTGGAGAAGGAACCGCAACCACAGCAGCTGCAGTAGGAAGAGGAGGAGAGCACCGTGAATTCGGTGAGCTGGAACCAGTTACAGATCGTTGTCCGTAGAGAGAGAGACATCTGGACAGATGCGTATGCACAGGGGCGGCCGTCATCACGGGGACACGAAGCCTGACGCTCCGTATGGAGAATGATTGACAGCAAGCCTTGAGATTCTCTAACGTTGTACCTCTGGAGAGTGGACGAACACTGCTCAACTTGTACATCTCCTCAACTCGTCCCACGTGTCGGAGACTCGAATTCGTCAGCAGAATAGCGTTTCTGACGCACTGCTCTCACATAAACAGAATCAAGCTCGGAAATAAAATGATCGCGTTGAGGAATAATAGTGGAAGATGAGGGTTGGCAATTCCAGAAACTTTTACATTCGTGAGCTTATCGATAAAACGCTCACCGATTTTCTGTAGCAAGCATGTTGACGTGAATTTGATTCAGTGTACAGCGAACTGAGCCTTCGAAGAATGCCATCATTCATTTTTGGCAACGCAGTTGGCCTTCCGACGTTTCGAAAATTTGGACCCGACGATCTTATATCCGTATGTCAGGTTTCGTCGTCTGCACTAAACTTGTCTCGACAGCTGGCTCAGCCTGGTTGAAACGCTCAAATTGGGATTCCCGAATAAATCTGAGCCCCTTGATGCTCGAGAGCCCCGCCCTATTCCCGAGTCTGAACAGCCACACATGCAGCGAGCAGCAGTGTGTGACATGTAGTGACCATCTTGTGCTTGAGACACAGGTTGACTGATGATCCGACTCGAGGAGGAAGATCCGATGACTGGACGAATATATCTAGAGGTAGACGTCAGGTGCAATGGCATTCGATGCCAAGTACCGTGGCGACGGTCGGTCAAGTCTAAAAGGGTACAAACACGAAGTCCAGAAACTTCCCTGGCGTTTGGTCAATCCGACGCTTGACCTCTGAGCCCTGAGAGTTTCCTTAGGTTGTTGCTGCTGTGGTGGTCGTATGGACTTCTGGATTTTCTTGCCGATTTATTTTGTAACAGCTCTTCTCATCGACGGACGGAGCAGTGGCTGCAACATCGAGAAACATCTCCATGAACATGATCTTTCAGTAGACGTCGATGTGAGAAAGGAACATTAAACTCGATCTCCGAGCCCAGTGAAGAGGGAATCTCTGTTGTACGAAATTCAGTTTATTCCACTGTATTTGAGCTAGAATCCAATTGTGCAAGTCAACTCCACACCCAACAGATGAGCTGCTTTTGCACTGACAATCACCACCTAAATTTCAATGGACGCGTTCAGACCAGATAAGAGGTTGTTGGTATGTAAAAATTCGTACTTCATTCTTTTTGATTCCACAGCCAGAAGTAGTAGTATCGCAGATTTCGATCACCATTTTCAACCATCCCGAATCCACACATGTCGGTCATCAATTTGCAGCGTTTACATTTCGGATCTTCAATTCAGTAGATGTCGTTTTCGGCAGTATACCGGTGGCGACCTTTGAGTTTCCTCGATCATTAAAATCATGTGGCTGCTGCTGCATTCGAAAGGAGGACTCACGAAATTCGTGCAGCTCGGTGAAGTGTACGCTTTCGACGAGAAGTCAAACTGCCACGCGGTTTCTGAAAAGGTACATCGATTAGAAACTTGCAGCAACGATCTCGATCGTTGGCATATGAGTCTTCAGCCGGATCCCTGAGGCTATGCAGCAGAAGAATCCGTCCGTTCCATTCGGATTCAGATGAAGGGAGAAGGGATCAGAGTTTGTATCCCTTGCTGATGACGCTTACATGCTGGTTCAGAGATCTGTGTCTGGCCCTTGTATCAGCACATCTCAGGTTCTGTGAACTCTGTTGAGAGTTTGAGATTTGGTGAGAACTCTGCTGCAAACAGAATGCGTATTTGAACAAAGCTATGGCGATGAATAATAAAAGTACTTCTACTCCACGTGTACCAATACGCTCGCTTCACGCAATAATCGGTGCCGGTTGACAGCCAGTTGAGAAGTCAAATCACTAATTTCACCATGTAAAGCACAAGACATAGGACCAAGATACAACGAAGAACTTGCACTTCTCTTATGGTGATCGACGCACCACATGTCCATCTTCGGGTCCAACAATGAAATTCTTTTCAGACTGATTGATGCTTGTTCGAATCACGTTGCGAGATCTGTTTTGAAGACCAAGAAGATGATGAGATGGTATGAGTCCAAGGCTTCTAGCGCATTAAGTACATCGAGATCGATGAATCGTCTTTGATGAGATGTTATGAATCGGTTGCAGAGAAAGACAGGACGCAGAATATCGCTAGCACGTGCACACTTTAAGACTGGAATAAGCAATTTATCGAGATTGTGATGAGAAACTTTGCACTTCGCAAAGTTTCAAGGCTGATGAGGAATGTTGGCTATGCTTTTCTCGCAATTATAAGTTACTAGAAACACAGCATAGCGGATGCCTAGATCCAGATGACTTGAAGAAAAGTGTTCCTGGTGTCATTCGACATAAGAGGCATCCCCAATTCGGAAGTCTAAAGAATGCAGGAGAATTAGCATTGGACTTCCAGTTGGTCGATTGAAAGGTGCAAAGACTGATTGCTTCGAGTTCTGGGTAGT